CAAACAGTGGGTGCCCGACAAAAACCAGAGGAACACAACTGGCCCTGATTTCATAATTCAGGGAACTGGGTAACAGGTAAAGAAGGATTCATAATACTGTTCTCTCTACTTTTGGAAGTGTTTAAAAATCCCTTGATAACAAGTTAAAAGAAAAAAAAAAAAGCTAAAGAAAGTGCCAAATTCCGGACATGTGACCACAGCCAGGGGACAGGAAACCGTAACAATGACAACAATGAAGAGGAAACAAGGACAAGTGAACTCTGATACACAAGGGCTGCTGAGTGCCCAGGCGGTGCACAAGCAGGCAAGTGGATGGCCTCTTCTTCCATCTGCGTCGGAAGTTTGGTGCGGCTCTATTTGTGTTTCCATTCATGTTATGCATTTGTGTTACAGGATTAGCTTGGTCTCCAGAGGGCGTTCGCTACAAACACAGCAGCCCCTTGTCCCTCGGCCCGTTCTCCACCTCCATCTTTCTCCCTCATTCTTTTCAGCTGAATCTTCTGGTTCCCTCCCACCTGTAAGTGACAGCCCGACTGTTCAGTTTGGACATCCCCTACTGGTGTCCCGCTCTGGCAGGTGGGGACACGTAGTCTCTGTCCCCCTGTGGACCCTGGTACACAACCAGGGTCCTCTCATCACACACTTTCTACAGAAGGCATGTCATCGTTCCAATTAGAGCAATAGTCGATGTTGGCAGAACTCGTCATCACTGTCTAAAGCTGTTCACAGCTGAGCCTGGCAGGACCCCATCATTACATTTTGTTTCCGGCACACGGTGTACTTTCCCTGGAACTAATAACAGTCTTGGGTTTTCATTTGCTTTGCTCTCCTTGGGCTTATTACCAATCCAGCCCAACTCTGCCGACTACCTGAACCTCCTCTCCAGATGCTCTCGTGCTTCTGGTGCCGGTCAATTTCATCTTCCCCTCAAATCTCCTCAAGGGGCCTTCTGGCTAGCTCAGGGCACAGCATGCCTGGTCCATGCCTGGTGCCCCGCTGGCATCCTCGCCTCTCCATCTCACCCAGTGATTCCTTTCACCTCTCTCTGGAGGAAAACCCTGTCCCCTCTAGCTGTCTTTCTAGAATCACCATCTCATTTTGGGAGAGCACGCCTGCCAGTCACTTCATTAAAGGGCATGAGAGGCAAATTTTTGGACCATGTCTGAAAATACCTTTATTCTAGCCTCCTTTGCCTGATTCAAGATTGAAAATATTTTCCTTTGGAATCCTGAACACCATGCTCTCTTGTTTTCCAGCTTCCAATATTGCTGCAGACAGGTCCCCAGGCCATTCTGCGTCAGCCTGTGATGCCCTGTTGGTGGCCTGTTTTTATTGTTTCTCTAGAAGCTAGCGCAATCTTCTTTGTCCCAGGCTGCTGAAATGTCACAACAACGTGCCTCGGAGTGATCTGAACACTCCTCTCCAAATTCTGGAATCGCCAGCTTCAGAGGCACTTCCCAGTAAATCCCTTGCTTCCGAAACCCGCACTAGTCGCCGTTGGAAAGTCAGCGTCCCTCTCTATCTTAACTTGCTCCCCAGACTCTAACTATTCAAATTGGGAGCTGCCAGAGCAGGAAAGTGGAGGCTCCCTGCGTTTCATCCTCGTTGCTGGCCACTCGGTGCCCCTTCCACACAAGAAGCTTGGGTTCCAGGAAGTTATCTTACACCATTTTGTGGATGATTTCACCCCATTTTCTCTCTTACTAAAATCTCTTATTATTCAGCTGTCAACTTCCTGATCTGACCCTTAATTTTCATTTCTCTCTCATTTTCCATCTCTGCTTTTCCGTTCACCTTCCTAAGTTCCTCAGCTTTATCTTTCACCCACCAACTGGGTTTTTCGTTTCTGCCATTTTGTTTTTCATATCCAAGAGGTTTCGTTTGGGTTCTTTGTTTGTTGTTGTTGTTTTTTTTTATTAGCTGAGCCATCCTGCCACCTGTTGGCAGCTCAGCGGCTGCTCAGCTCGGGCTGGGACTCGAACTGCTGTTGCTCAGAGCTCACAGTCTTGAGCGAGCTCTTAACCAACTGAGCCACTCGGTTTGGGTTTGGGTTCTTTGTTTCTTCAAAGTACATGATGTTCTTGTGCCGAACACGCGCTATTTTCTCTTACGTCCCTGTGCACACTTCTTCACCCTTCCTCCTGCACATCCTCCACTTCCTCCAAGTGTGACCATGGTCCCCATTTTCCAAGTCTGAGGCTTTCTTGCCTAGTCTCTGGTCATCTGTTCCTAGTTCCGGGGCGGGGGATTAAAAGAACTTGGAAGCCTTGAACCTTGGGTGGGGGTTATTACGTCTGACCTTCGGTAGCAAGTGAGCCAGCCAGGCCTCCTGACCGGGGACCCCCTGAGGGCACTATTTTTAGGTATTTTCTCTGGGCTAGCTGCTCACATTCTGCACTCTTCCATTCTCCCGCCTGGAGGGAAAGAGCAAGCTGGTGGCGCTCTGGGAGCCCAGCAGGCCCCACTGGCTTCACCTTCCGGTGTTCTTACCGCGGTGCACTCTCTCGCCCCATTCAACTGCGCTGTTTCCGGTCCTCTGAACAGTTACAAAAACTCCCCACCCCTTGGTTAAATGCAGGAAGTATTTCATTACTGTGTCAGTTGTCATTAGGTCCATCTGCTCGCAAGTGTTCAGAGAACCATCAACCCTGGCTGCAGCCACAGACCCAAAAAGTAGGTGTGAAACTAACAGGTGCTTTCTGAAGAGAAAGAGAAGCAATTAAAAAAATCGAAACTGAAGATTTAAAAGAAACGAATAACTAGCTGCATTTGTCTCAGCAGTATCAATAACCAGTCTCTTCCCCACAAACGGCACTTCAGCCTTCAGACCTTTCTAGAAGAGAATCACCCACAGTCATGGTGAATGTGCGGTAACAACTATATACTGCATGACCAGTGTCAGCCAACCGATATGCTGCTCTTCTGCCATCTGTCCCTTCCACGCCAGCGGAAGTTCCCCAGGATTGCGTCCTTGGACACTCTCTCTCCAAGGGCACATCCGATCCAGGATGGCCCACAGATACTGCAAATTCTACAAGTGTGAACATCAGCAGTATGTTTGCCCCTCCCTGTGCAAACCTGCTCCAGCGTTCCTCATAGCAGCTACCAGCTCTGTCCTTCAGTCACCCGAGTGAGACATCTTGGTTCCTTTCGCCTCTCCCTTTCCCCCCAACCCACAGAGCGCCACTGACATTCTCCAGCCTCTTTCAACCCAACACCCCTCTCCACTCCCCTGGCCACTGTCCTGGCCCCTCACCCCATATGGCTGTGCCCAGGTCAGTCTCCATCTCCCCATACCCTGGACCCATCCTGCTTCTCACCAGTGAAACACAGATCTATCACATCCCACCCAAAACCTGGACTCCTCGCCAGATGGATAAAAGTCCAAACGCCCTAGCACAGCATCCAAGGCCCTTCCCTTCCCCGGCAGAAACCTCTTTCCAGCCTCAGCTTCTACCCCAGTCCTCAAACCCCATCCCACAACTAATACGGGAACTCTATGTCCCCCAACGTCCATTCACTCCCACGTCTCTGCACGCCTTGCTGCCTCCTCCTGCGATGTTCTCCCACCCTTCGTTCATCCCGCGATGCCCAACTCCTACATGGTCTCCACCATGGAAAACCTCTCCAACACCAAAAACAAACAAGCCTGGCCGGACCGTGTTAACGCCTACAGGACAGCACCAATCACACTGTGACAGCCACGTGACCGCACCGCCAGCAGCTAGCCCAGCCTGGCATCTTGCAAAGGATGAGACACTCACTGTTTGTTACAGCGATGAACCAGGCGTGCACTGAGTGAAGAGTACTGCTGGCCTGAAAACATCAGCCCAAAGTCCTGTAAACTAATCTGCACCAGAATTAAACACCCATGCCGGCACTCTGTAAACTCGCGGTAGTCCTGCTACTTAACACTTTCCTTATGTGCCTGTTTTCTCTCCGTTTTCACCCAGGCACCAGCCCGGATTCACATTCCCAACCCCAGATGTGCACAGAGAAGGGCTAAGGAAACTGTGCCTGGCCTGGGGGCCGGCGAGGACCAGCTGAGCCGTTTCCCAGCGGCCCTCCGCCTGCACCCACACGTCAGGGGACAGTACCCTTCAGGAAGCACTTGCATCCGCTCTGCCCACAATCCACACTCTCATTCACCCTGGGTCTGCTGAGTCTCCCCGGCGTGGAATTATAAAATAAATAATTCAATAATCACGGACACACTATGGCTTGTTGTGCTCCGTGCCAGACGGAACCTCAGCTTGAGCCAACGGTCTGTCAGTGATGTCTCGGTGGCCAGGAGCCCAACTGGAAGATATAAGTCCTACTGTTAGGACTAATACATGGCTTCCTTTCGCCCAAGAGGCAGAACTGAGCAGGGAGTCGTTTGAGTGATCCTCTGCCACGACCCCCCTGTGTCCGCTGGGTCTGCAGTTACTGCTCTGTGGTCAGCAGGACGGGAAGCCAAGTTGGGGCGACAGGGAAAAGCCCACAGTCTGGGTGAGCCTCGGAACCGGAGGGCGGGGGCTCCCTCTGCAAGGAGCTGGGTGGAGGAGCCTGTGCCGGGCGCGTCCATCCCACTGGTCCCCAGGCAGGGACTCTGGTGATCACTGCGGCATCGCTGTCGCTCGGAACAATGACTGATTTTCCTTCCAGACTCCCGCGCGGCCGAAGAAGGAAACCGATAAGCGCGCCAGGGGGACACTCCACCCGCTGCCGTCCCTCAGCAGGGCCGGGGTGACAGAGACCGGGCGGGGCCCAGCCCACCGCGGGGCGAGCCGGCCGAGGGTGGGCACCGCGGCGGGCGCCCCAGGCGCCGTCCAGGGTCTCCCTCATCCCGATGAGGACGGGGGCTCAGAGAGGGTGCGAGCCGGGCCAAGGTCACACAGCAGCCGGCGCGGGGGTTCCGCCCGGGCCGCGCCAGAGCTGCCGCGCGGTCTAAGAGAGCAGAGAGCCACCGGGCGCAGGCGCTCCCACCCCGCGCGCCCCTCGCCCCGCGCGCCCCTCACCTCGCAGCCGCCACCGCCGCCGCCGCCTCGCGACCCGCGGACCCTCCAGAGGCCGCCCCTCCGCCGGCCCCGCCCCCGCCCCCGGCTCGGGAGCCCTGCCTCCTGGTCCTCTTCTCGCGAGAAGTCTTGGCCGGCGGAGGGGCCACGAAGGCCGAGGGGCGCCCGTCCTCAACGCGCCTGCGCACTTAGCACTCAGCCCCTCCCTCCCCAGCCAGTGCCATGTGGCGCCGTATTTACGACCTGAGATGGGCCCGCCCCCGGCCATCGGGAGCCCCGCCCCTTTTCCAGAAGCCAATCCTGTCCTGCGGGCCCTGGCGTTGGCTCCGCCTCCAGCGGGCCGGGCGCGGGGAGCTGCAGGGAGCGTCCCGCGCGGCTGTCAGGCAGGCGGCCCAGCGGTTGGAGGCCAGCGCAGCGTTGCAGCAGATACGGTCCAGCTAACCAACATTTAGGCAGCGCCTGCTGTCTACCGGACCCGTTTGCGAGCACCCACTGCTTGCTCCCCAGCCAGGGCTCTCTGTGCGACCTTGGGCAAGTGACTGAGCCCCTCTGAGGTTGTTTCCGAGCCCATCATCTTGCAGGGACCTAGTGAGCCCAAGTGAGATGATGCCTGTGAAGCAATTAGCAGGAGGCACTGGTGATCATTGTTCTTAGTACCAATGGTTTTTAAAATTGTGGTGAGGGCCGGCCGAGTGGCGCGTTGGTTAAGCGCTGGCTTGGGACGCCAGAGGGCCCCGGTTCGGATCCCACATATGAGGGCCAGTGACACTGCCCTCCACAGCTAAGATGCTGAACAACAGCTCAACCTGGAGCTGGGCTGCCGTGAGTCACGGGCGACAGCGTAGGCTGCAGCCCCTGTGGCAGTGGGATGCCATGGGCTATCGTGTGTGGCCAGCAGCCAGCGTGAGCGGCCAGCAGCCGCAGTGAGCGGCCGTCCAGAAGCCGGCGACTGATCTGCCTCGCCCGGGAAGAGCGCAATGATGGTGCCAACTTGGGCCAGTGCAGCGACGTCTTCCACAACTAGACTGAAGAAAAAAAAGGACAGCAACTTGTCTGTTCCCCTTCCCCCAATTCCCCAGCACTGTTCCCATCCCCCAATTCCCCAATAAAAATCTTTAAAAAAAATTGTGGTGAAATGCACATAACATAAAAGTTACATCTGAACCATTTATAAGAGGCATTTCAGTGGCATTAAGTGCATCACATTGTTGTGCATCCGCAGGACTTTTTCAGTCAGTGATGTTTTACGTGGTTCCCCCCAGTGGACAGCGGGGACTGCCTAAGAATGGAAAGAAGTCTTCCCTGGTGGTCAGTCTCCCAGTCACGGAGGAGGTCCTGCCTGTAGGTCCCTGGAGACACAGGAGTGGGGGACACAGGAAGGCCCCGTCCCCCTGGAGCTTCTATTCTAATGGGGGAGAACAACAACAAAACAAGTGTACCAACCTCTCCTTTGCATTAATCCCCGTTTAGCATTAATCACGGGCAGGCCCAGTGCCCTCTGCCCCGCCACCAGCTAACCTCTCAAAGCCCCGGTCTCTTCCCAGGGCCCCCCTCTCCCTGAGCCTCACTGACTCCCCTTCTTGGGAAGAGGTTTCTCTAGCAGGCAGGCACCTGGATGGCAAAACGCAGGAGGACTCCGGGAGATGCCAAAATAGTGAGGCGTCTGTCAAAACTCATAAAACTGTACAAAGGGATACATTTTGTCATATCTAAATTATACATCCATTAAAAAGTCTTTTAAAATGTAACTTCCCCCAGCCAAGATTTTGCTAAGTATGAGGAAATGGATGCAATGAAGATGCAGTGAAATCATTTCCCCAGCTGACCTGTGTTCGGAAGCGCTCAGCTAGTGTTTCTGTTGGGCTGGCAATTCCCACACTATCCTCTGAAATGGTGCCTGCGGCCAGGGTTGTGGGTGCCTGTTTGATAAGATCAAAGGGTTCCCTGGTCAAATAAGAGTGGGACACAGGAAACAAAATTCTCGTGTGTAATTGTAGCCAGACTCCTGGCCCTTTGCCAGGGTAACGCATGTTGTGAATTTTAAAGTTTGCCCACAAGCTCCCCAGCACCAGGGAGGGTTGCAGAGGTTTGTTAGAATGAAACAGAGCTTTGGGTGCTCAGGAACCAGAATTTCACACTGCGAAGGGCAACTTGGGAATTGGAACAAAACTCCCAGGCCGTTCGCTGAATGCCAGGACAAGCCCAGGTGGGTGAGGCCCCCAGCGGACAGGACCTGGAGCTGAGATAAAGACCACCGCTTCCCTGGGGGGAAGGAAGGAAGGGGGCCACTGGGTAATGGGGGATGGGCCCCCCTTGGGCGTGATGAAATGGTTTTTTGGGTTTTTTTGTTGTTTTTTAAAATATTTTTATTGGGGAATTGGGGGAAGGGGAACAGACAAGTTGCTGTCATTTTGTTCTTCAATCTAGTTGTGGAGGATGTTGCTTCACTGGCCCAAGTTGGCACCATCATTGCGCTCTTCCCGGGCGAGGCAGATCAGTCGCCGTCTTCTGGATGGCTGCTCACAGTGGCTGCTGGCCGCTCAGGCTGGCTGCTGGCTACACATGGTAGCCCATGGCAACCCACTGCAGCAGGGGCTGCAGCCTACGCCGTCGCTGGCAACTCATGGCAGCCCAGCTCCAGGTTGAGCTGTTGTTCAGCATCTTAGCTGTAGAGGGCAGTGTCACTGGCCCTCATATGTGGGATCCGAACCGGGGCCCTCTGGCGTCCCAAGCCAGTTCTTAACCATCGTGCCACTCAGCTGGCCCATGAAATGTTTTGTAGCTAGACAGAGGTGGTGTTTGCACGATATTGTGAATGTGCAAAATGCACTGAATTGTTCACTTTAAAATGGTTGATTATATCATATCAATTTCACCTCAATTAAAAAAAACACATTTCTTACATCAGCAACACACCTACGTTTTTACGTACCCTCTCTGAAGTAGCTACACAGTACTTCCTTATTCACAGACCAGGTAGCAGAGGCTCAGAGGAGCTAACCAACTAACCAAAGCCACTCAGCTGTGTCAATGACAGAGTTGGGACTGGAAGCCAAATTCTGGGCTTCAGAGCCAGTGCTCTGCTGCACCCTCATGATCCCCTTGACCAGGAGGGCACCTGTTATGAGGGATCTGGGAGCAGGCCAGTGCTGCCCTGGAGTCACCCCGCATTGTGACTTTCCTCTCCCCCTCTTCTAGGCCAGGAGATCCTTCAAGCTGGTGGGCCCCGCTGGCTGCCTTTCCCCACAGCGACTTTGTTGGCTGCAGGCCACCTTCAGGGCCCCTGGGCCCCTGTGCAAAGGCCGCAGCCACCCCAGGGCTGACCACAGCCTGGTTCAGTCTCTCTGTTTTAGTTTGAGCTATTGCAATGTCCCCTACCACCTACAGCGATTTCTGGTTTCATAACCAGCGTTGCAACAGAAGAAGGATAGCAGTAACATGGCTTGGGCCAGGAACTGTCAGCTGCCACTGATGGAGGAAGCTGGGAGATTCTGATTCCTTCTGGGTGCTTGGATCAGGGAACTGATAGTATAAGAAAAACAAAGAAATATGAGAATTGCAAATTCAAGTCACCTGCTTTGCAGGTGGTAGGAAACTCCAAGAGAACCCTCCTGGTTAATCCTGAGCTCATGCACCCCCAGCCCCACCCCAGGCTCACTGCAGTGTTTGTTTCTGTCTCATGGGGTGGTGTGGGGTAATGCAGGAGTGGGAGGAAACTGGCCCCCGATGCTGGGTCAACTACCTGGCCGCTGTGTGGCCTTGGCAGGCCTTCCCGCCTCAGGGAGCCTGTTTCCTGTCTGTTTCGTGCTTGAAATGATAACCCTACCTCCTAGGCTGGCTATGCTGTGGGGAGAGACACGGTGCATGCAAGTGCTGGCCCACAGCATTTCTGCTGGGAGACCAGCTAAGAGGCACTGTGGCATCCCCAAGGCGGTGACGGTGTCTTAGGCTCGTTACCTCACAGCCTTCAGTGAAGCTCTCCCCACTCAGGAAACCACTCTGACCCACTTAGGCAGACCGTCCGTCCCTCAGTCTTGTTAGAGTAGAAGATCCCCCAGCTGCCCTTAATCTAGCAAAGGCTGGCAATGCCCTGAGCTCAGAAAAGCGGCTACGTAGTTCTGAGGACAGTAAGAAGTAATCACTGGAGCTTTATTTTCTGGATGAGACTGACATTGAGATCAGTAAGTAGACTTTGAGTAAAGCAGATGGCCCTCCATAAGGAAGGTGGGCCTCGTCCTGTCAGTGCAGTGGAAGACTGCGAGAGAAACAGGCTGAGGTCCCCTGAGGAAGAGGGGGGCCTTCCTCCAGACGCCCTTCAGCCTCAGGGCTGATTTCGGACTTGCCAGGCCCACAATCACGTGAGCCAATTCCTTGAAGTAACCCCACCCTCTTTTGTGTATGCTCACACAAGCGCACACACACCCTATTCTGGTTCCCTGGAAAGCCCCAACTAATACATGGCTTTGGGGACAAATTCTTCTCCTCCACTTGCCAGTGGCCACTCAGGTGTCCCCAGTGGCTTCCTCGCCTGAGCTGAGGTGAGGGTGCTGGAGGGTGCAGGTCTGGTGTCCCAGCCCACAGAGCGCCGTCTCCTGGAGCAGAAAGCAGGGTGTGCACTGATCCTGGGAGGAGCACCTGCTATTGAGAATCACCCATAAGAGGCCTGAAGCTCCCTGTGAGGGGTCCTTGGGAGGGGCTCTGACTACATGGGCAGCCCTTCTTCTGAAAGAGTCTGGTGAGGCAGTCACTGGTGCAAGGGCTGCAGGAAGCCCCCCAAAGTGTCCCTGCAGGGCCCCCATCTCTCAGCCAGCTTCGGGGCAGAGAGACCCCAGTGCCCGGGATCACCCTCTCTGGCCTGCCCCGCCTGCTGCCACTTCTGCCTGCTGCCGTCTTTACTTTGGTCTTCTTGGCTTCTTGGCACTGCCACCCTGGTGCTTGCGAAGGTTGCTGGGGGGCAGTGGGCTGTGGCGTCGTCCTCTGCTGTCCGTAGACCCTGGAAGGGGGGTGGGTAGGCTTCAGTCTGTGGCAAACTCCAGCGTGGGTAGCTGGCTGGGTCCCTGCCCAGTGTGAGTGCCTAGCCCTGGCCTAAGCTGCCCCCACACTCAGTTCAGACCCCCACGGGCTCCTCTCCCTGTTCCGTCCCTGCCGTGCCCCGGCCACCTTCTGGGCCTGAGGGACTTGACCTTCCTGACCTGAACCTCTCTCTGAGTCTGTGCTGGCCTCTGCTACTCGAGTAACACCGGGCCCGTCCACAGGACTCCCCGCAGCCTTCTCCACTGTGCTGGACACACGCAGTTAGGGTGCGGGGACCCTTGTGGAACATTTCCCGTCCCTCACATTCAAAGACACGCTGTTTAAACCAGCTGCGCACCATCAGCCACTGCTCAGCCAGCTCTGGGCTGGGGGCTTCTGGCCCCAAGGTCATGGCCAGTAAACACCCTTGAGACCTTTTCCCCAATAACCCTTAAAAAGAAGGGCATAATAGCAAGAAGTTCTCAACCTTTTCTGAAACAGTAACCTAAGGGAATGGGTTAAAGGTACAGCAAGGACTGAAGTTAGACATAAGGAAGGACTTCCTGCATAGGCCCAGCCCTCCCTGGTGGTCTTTAAAAGCCTATTATTGCTGGTTTATACCCATCCTTCCAGATGGCTTGGTTGTGCATTGGTTCAAGGGGTGAGAAAATAGTGCCAGTGATGCCAGAGGGATTTCCTATCCCCAGAAAAGATCCAGACAACATGTGTCTCATGGGCTGGGGTGAGGATAGCATGAATGTGGATTCTACCATGACTTCAGTGGTCACTAGGGTTTAGCAGACATGCAGGAAACATTGGTGTCCTTCTTGCTTCAAGATATAGAAACAGAAGAAGGAACGGGGAGCGGCACGCTGACAGAACTGTGTCTTGTATCTTAAGGTGAATCGCCAGGCCTGGGGATGTTTGGATAAGATCACACTTCCACAATACTGCTGGTGAGTGTGCAGAGTTCGGCACGTTTCTGGGACGTGGTTTCGCCAGAAGTTATTTTAAATTAAGCAAAACAAGCAAACTTGCTTTTGGATGAAAGGACCAGGGTGGCATAGTTTTGGTCATGTTCTAGACCTGCTGTCCAAGTAAATGGCCACTGGCCACGTGTGGCTGCTGGACGCCGACGAGGGAGTGCTTGGTGACTGTCATGTCTGAGGCAGATATGTCCCACTGTCACCCCCCACTTCTCCCCACAAGGTCGGCCTGAGAATTGTGGAAGGCAGCAGTGGGGGCTGTGGGGCTGCACAGGGAGGGGGGAGGGGCAGGCACTGACCTCGGATGTCCGGGGGCAGGAGGGGCGCCCTGCTGGGGCCAGTGCTGCTCTGCCACGTGGCCCTGGGGAGGGTGAAGCCGACCTCAGGCACATGGAGCGAGTTCTCATCTAAACAGTGAGACCAGAGACAGAATGTGATATTGAAGGCGCACACTTGGCCTCAGTGACAGGGAGACCCCTCATTCATTCATTCGTCTGTCCCCCCCTCCCTGTCCACTCGCCTCTTCTTTACTGAGCATCTACCCTGTGCCAGGCGCTGCTTGGAGGCCTGGGCACACAGCAGTGAACAGGACTAAGACATCGCTGCGCTCATGGACCTAAACAGGAGGAGGACGAGGGACGAGAAGGGGAAAGGGACCTGCTGTGGTCAGTCTGAAAGGAAGCCCCACTGACAAGGCTGCGGCTGAGAGTCGGGCTCCGAAGGGCGGGGGCAGGGAGCCATCTGTCTGAAGGTCTCCCTCTTGCAGAAGCTGGACTTGAGCATTTTGTGAGACTTTCCACATCATTGTGAGAGGTGCTGCTGGCTTGGGTTTGGTGTGGGAATTTCAGGCTTGGGCTTGTGATCGCTGCTTCCGGTGTGAGCATTCTAAGCTGCTCTGGGCATTCATTAAGGGGCTCTTACTTCATATGGAGGGCTGCTCACGTAGAAGAATTCAAGCACTTGTTAGAGGATTTGGAACAGTCTCGCACTCCGGGGGTGAGCTGGGTAGTCAGCGTCCCCACTCCTGCACTTGGGCCCAGGACTCCTTCCTGCTGCCACTGGCCTGGTCAGTGGTGGCTACGTTCCCGCCTCTCAGAGGCACCAGGGTGGTGGCTTGTAACCACACACCCAAATGCGAGACACATCAGGGCACGGATGCGGGACCAGCAGCACCGCTGCCCGAGCGATCAGATGGAGCTCCAGGGTCTCGGCCCAGGACCCTCCCAGCGTCCAGGCCCCTGCAAACTCTGTAAGTGCATGATCCTCGGCCTCCCCGGGGAGGTCCGTTTTCAGCACAGACCTGCTGCCCAGGCCAGAGAAAGGGGATACCTGGTCCACCCCAGCCACCTGCAGGCCCTCACTGTACACCTACCAAGTACAGATGTGTTCTTTCTCCAAGGGGAGGCAGCCAGGCACAGCGTGAGGGACATCATGGGGCTGCCAGGCCTGCTGTGCCACCAACGCGCAGTGTGACCCCAGACACCTCACTCCCCGCTTCCCGCCTACGCTTACTCAGCTGGACCAGCTGGGCTACTGATCTTGAAGGGCCATCGACTCGACTACGCTGTGACTGTTCCATCACAGGGGCACTCAGTGTAGAGGTGAGGACCCCGGCCCCACAACGGGGACCCTCTGCAGACACAGGTGAGGAAAGAAGGTCCAGCCTTTTCTGAGTCCACAGAGGAAGGCGGGCTCAGCGCCCCCCAGGGGCTGGGACTCGGCCCCTTTCCTGCCAAGTACTGGGGCCAGCTCCGGTCTGCTCATTTTTATCTGAAAAAGGCTGATTTCTCTTGCACACAACTGGGCATTAGGTGATATTAGGGAATGGCTCTTAATTTTCCTACCTATGACATGTAATAACACTGTTAGCAGTTAGAGAGAGCTCTTGAAATATTTATGGGAAAAATGACAATGGATTTTCTTGAAACAGCTCCAGGGAAGCAAACAAACAAAATGGGCAGAATCGCGATCGTGTTGAAGCAGATGACATTGACACTGGAGGGTCTCAGCTTTCCCTCTGCTTCTGTACACGGTGGGAATTTCATAACAAAATGCTGGGGAAAGCAAACTCCTTTTCCAGTCATCTTATCTCTAGAGGAGACAGAACCGTGAGCTCCAGCCGGGAGCTAGAGCTGGGAGGGTGGGGACGGTGCATGAGACGGAGCTGTGGCCCACCACACACCACACCTGTTATTTCACAGGCACCTCACGGCTCCCCTCCCCCAAGTAGACACTGTGGTGATCACCTCCCCCAAGTGGGGGACTAGAGGCTGGCGCTGAGGTCACCTGCCTGCCCGCTGGGAGGAGAGGCTCCGAGTACCAGCCCCTGCACTGCAGAGTTCCCGCTCCTAACACCTGCGTGCTCTGTGCCGCTTACTGTTCTCTGAGCGGAAAAGATACAAGCTTGTAAAGCACCAAGCCCCACGAGGATGCAGAACACCTGAAGTGTTTAAATTAGTGCAGGCCTCCGTTGTTTCCGGCAATGACAGTAGCCAAACTGAGGAATCACAGATAAATCTGAGTTTGTCCTCGAGATCAATGATCTCTGCGAAGCCTCTGACAGCGTGGCTGTGAGTCAGCTGTCAGGGCCAGGCCCACCAGCCAGGCCTAGTGTGGGTGTGCACACGCCCCACTGTCCTTGACGCGTGTACCAAGAGCACTAAAGATGCTCTCACCCTTGGACCTCCTAAGAATACAGACGCCAAGAAAACAAGACGGGAAAGGACGTCTGGAAGTGCGGCTAAGAGCCAAGGCTCTGGGACCAGCCTACCTGGCTTCGAGTCCCAACTCCGCCACTCCCAGCTGCGTGACCTTAGGCGAGTTCCGTAACCTCACTGTGCCTCCATTTATTCATCGGAATAATATTAATAGTCATCCCTGAGCTCGTAGAACTATCGTGAGGACAAAGGGGTCAACGTTGGTAAAGTGCCTAGCACACAGCAAGTGCTAAATAAACATGAGCTGTTGCTGTGTCGCGGGCAACATAGGCCAGCGGTTGCAGCCATCCGCGAGGGCGAGCCTGCTTGTACGCTTTCTCCAATCTATATGGGATTGATACCTTTCTAAATATAGCAGAAGTGAGTCATTACAAAGGCTAAAGGAAGACTTTGTCCAAATACAGACTTCAAGCCACTGGTCACAGGGTGTGGTGTGGTCAGTGCCCCCGGCCTTTCTGAGCACAGGGCCCCAATCCTGCACGTCCCATTGCAGGTCAGTAACAGTGGCTGGGCACTCTGAGGGGTATGCACAGCCCCCACTGTCCCTTCACAATTGTAACAAACTGGAAACACCCCTGTCCTGTAAGAGGCCGACATCACGTCACTGTCCATCCACACAGGGAGGTGTCATCTTCCAGAGCCTATTTCTGGATGGGGACCGTGTCCAGTGCGTCTGTTTTACAATTTTACCTAGTCCCTAGTCACGATAAATATGTATCATTTTTGTAAAAACGACCACCTCAGGAGCCAGTAATCAAACCTACACTGATAGAAGCCATAGAGGCCGGACACGCAGGCTGAATAAAGGCAGCCGATCGTGCGTGCACAGCTTTAATCATTTAAACTCTTCTGGGGTGTCAGGCAGGCCAGAAGCAAAACCGAGCATTCTGTAAACATGTCTCTTCACACAGCCAGTGGCCTGGCCCTCTCACTGTCCCACAAACCAGAAACCAAGGAGCAAGACAACTGATAGCAGCCCCAACTGTCACACTTTCCACGGATTCACAGCTGAGATGGGATGGGAGGGGCGGGGGCGGGGAAGGGACCGAAAAGCAAAAAAAGCCAACATGCAATTTTTTTAGCTTTCTTTTTGACCCTGTACCTGCATGGAAACTGAGGCTGGGTTTCATGTTGGAGGCCACAGGCACAGCAGGGAAGAGTCTCCTTGATGGCGACTTTGGCAACCGATGGGGTGCAGGGGGCGCCTGGCTCTCGGCCAAATGCTGCAGGGCCGCCTGAAGGGAGAAATCGCACAGCAGGGCAGTGTGCGGGGAGCAGGGGGGAAGGGATAAAATGTCAAGGCCATTGTGAGCTGAAGCCGTGCACTGCTTAAACGCCTACTGTGTGCCAGGCTGCTGTGGGCACAGAGGGTATCTCAGTGAGCCTAACGGGCAGAATCTCTGCTAACATTCTCCCTAAACCCCCAAAGAAGAATGAATGAATGAATGATGCTCTCCTGACTGTCTGTTCTACCAGTGTTTCTTCTCAATTCCCCCCCCGCCACTTATGGATGGGGTTCTCATCTAAACCCACTGTGATGATTAATATTTAAATACACAGACTGAGGAAAGCAGATTTGCCCTCGCTAATGGGGTAGACCTCGTCCAATCAGTTGAAGGCGTGCATAGACCAGAAAGGCTGAGTCCGCTGTGAGCAAGAGACTCCTCCGCCTGGGCTGCCTTGAGCGGGGGCTTCCGCTTTTTCCTGCCTTTGGACTCGAACTGAAACATCAGCTTTCCTGGGTCTCCAACTTGCCGAAGGCAGATCTGGGAATTGTCAACCTCCAGAATCACTTAAGTCAATTCCCAATAATAAATATCTCTCTACACACCTACCTACACACACACACACTCTCTCTCTCTCTCTCTCTCTCTCTCTCTCTCTCTCTCTCTCTCTCTCTCTCCTGGTTCTGTTTCCCTTGAGGACCCTGACTACTACGCCCACCTTCTCTGGTCCTTGCTACTGTCCCACTGTCCTATCTTTAGTTCCGCTGAGTAATTACCAGAGTATGTACTTTCAGTGTGAATCGACAGACACCCACAGTACATGCAGCAGGGGTGGAAAGACACGCAGCAGACCCCGGCCTCTAGCCGACCTGCCCAGGGAGTAGCCTGCTTACTCATCTCAGTCTGGGTTGCTTAACCAAGTGCACAGTGAGAAGGAAACCCCTGGAAGTAAGGACCCTCCACAGGGGCCCGACTGTGCAGAACCCGCCCCTCCCCTGGGCAAACGTACTCTCACACCACTGTGATCAATCTGACACTCTGCTGTGAGCTCTTGGATTTTTGCTTAAATGTTGTTGAGACTTTTTCACAGGCCAACATTGTTCAATATCCCAAGAAAGTGATTCAAAATGAAAAACACCGTTCACAGCGGGACGCTGAAGGATTACGTGTAACAGTCACAAGAGAAGGACAACCTACGGGGCCATTTAACGGGGACCAGAGAACCACGAGTGGCCACGAGTGGATGGCTTGTGGCTGGCTGTCCTCTGCAGATAGTGACGGAGGGCCTGTGTGGGCCTGCCGGGTGCCAAACATGGCAAGAAAAGAAAGCGCCCCTGGTGGTCAGTGCTTACCCACTCACCTGCCACACAGTATTATTTAGCTGCTGTGTTTTGCAACCAAGTAACGTCCCTTTTTAAAGTTAAAATACAAATACTAGGTGGGAGCATGACAAGTTATGAGAGAATGTTAAGAAAAAAGCAGGCCAAACCCCTCGGTCCCCGTGATGGCACACAGAAGGCGTGTACCGTGCATGCTGAGCAGAGTGGTGATGGTGACGGTGAAGGTGTCCTGTGGAGCCCCAGTTCTCTTCCGCCTCGGCGCGTCTAGGCCTCCGCACCCGCCATGACTGTTGAGGTCAGCCCCTGGCCTTCCCTCCCTGCTGTCTGGCGGGACCCCTGGGACTGGAACACGGGCCAGTGTCCACCCACCGGCTGCACGCTCCGGCTGAGGGACGCTGACTGCGTGCTCCAGGCCTTCCTGTCCACGGATCCGTCCCTGCCCGGGCTGGTGTGGGGCCACTTCCTGTCTGCTGGGCTCGGGTCCCTGGCATCCGGGGCTACCTCCTCTGGGAGGTGGGGGGAGGAGTGGTGGCTGCCGTCGCGGTCCTGCGCCTTGGAGCGCCGGGTGGCCGCGAGGAGGGCGATGGTCTTGGTGCTGGCGGCCATCTCCTTGAGGTCCTCTGCTGCCATCCTCGGGGTGCCACACTCCCAGCCAGCCGGGGAACACAGCTTGGAGACCAAATTCTTCATACTCAGGGAGCTCGACTTCTACAGAAATCAGCACCAGTGGATGGCCCGATGTCGCTGGGCTGTCTCTGTGGCCCCAGGTTGGGCCCCCAGAAGCAGACCCAGGGACAGTGACTCAGGGGAAAGACTGCTGGGGGGCAGGTAGGAACAAGGGCCAAGGAAGGCCCATGAGAAGCAGCCCCTGGCCTAGGACGTTCTCTGAGAGCACAGCACTCGGGCCTCAGGGTCACGGCACCCAAGGGCTGAGGGGCCAGGTATTTATACGCTGCCTCCCAGAGTCACTGCTGAGGGCTTCTCCCAGGGGACCTGACTCCCCAGCACTCTGCCTTGGGCAGTGTGGCTCCCCGTGGGGCAGGGGGCATCCTCAGCACAGTCACCCCGTTGTTGACGACCATTGTGATGGCTGCTTAAGTAGAGTCCTCTTTCTGGAAGCTTCTCTGCTGCCCTGGCCCAGCGCAGCTCTGGTGGCCCATGACCCTGCTGGGAAGGGAGCCTCCCAGGGCCCGGAGCCCTGGTCGGCACTGCACACACACCTCCTGAGTCGGAGGCGTCAGCCGGATGCGGAGGGATGGGAGAGGGAGGAGGAAATCCTGCTTTCCCAGCTTCTTCGAGGGCATGGCTTTCGACGACTTGTAACCATCACTGTGGAGGAAGCACAGACGCATCAGCAGAGCCACTCCAGGGCCCTTGGTCTTTTGTTGCAGCCAGAGGAAAACCAGAGTCCGGACCTCCGGCCACTGCGGCCCACAGGCCGGGGCGAGTGGCCTCTGCCCCACTGCTGTGTTTGGGGACAAGCTGGGAGCAGTCACTCCCGCTCATTGCAGCCAACAGATACAGGCTGGTCACCTCCTTGGGCCCATCCTGAACCCAGAGCCAGGTGTGTATGAGACGTGGCCCTGCTCTGACCACATCTGCATTCTAGGGGGGACATACACCAAATAAGCAAGCGGACGTATGGGGCAGGGACCAGCCTGGCCCATTCAAGGCTCAGCAAGGAGGTGGGGGTAGGATAGAGCCTCGTGAGGTCACACAGGACCTCGTGTGGAAGGGACCTCTGACCGCCCTTCAGCTGTAACTGTCCATGGTCCTACTATTCTACTGCATAAAGGAGGGGGCATTTCTAGCAGCCTCCGTCAAGTCAGGCCACCAGCCACTGTAAGAACAAAAGCATCAAGCATCAAACCCAGGCTCCCTGACGAGTGGCCTTGGGCTCGTCACCTCTGTTTTTTCACCTACAAAATCGAAAGGGTAATAACCTGCGCCCCTGGGAAGGCTGTAGGAGCTCCAGGGCCCCGGGGGTGTGCAGGTACTGTGTACCCCGCTAAGGCCTCTGGGGCACCGTCAGCAGAGCCCGGGCAGCAGCGTAGGCCCTGGACGCACACGCCCAGCCTGAGTACCCATCCCACTTCCTGGGGACGAACCTGGGCAAGCCAATGGGCCCCTCTGGACTGTTTCCGCATGTGGGATGTGCTCAGAACCGGCACCCCACAGTGTGCCCCAGCAGCTGGCACGCTGCCCAGCCAGCACGGGGAGGTGAGCGATGACCGCAAAGGGCCAGCCTGACTCGGGCAATACTGTTTCCTGCAGCAGCCCAGAGTTCAGATATCGCCGAGACTCGTCCTTGCAGTCAGGGAGCTTTACCCACTTCGCCTGCCCCTCACACCTACAGGACAGGTCCTGAGGGCAGGACTGCCCATCCTGCACACAGGGGGTGCTCACTCAGTATGCAGTTAGACCTGGCAGGTACTGTTGTAGCCTGCCTGACAGCCACCCTTCTCCCTGGATAAGGCACCCCAATGTTATTTGGGTCCTAGCTGGCCCACGCCTGCTGCGGTCCTCCTGTCTCCTCTGCCTGGGGAGCTGGCTGAGGCGGGAACGTGTAATTGCACTTCAGCCCCCTAGCTGTTAGGAGACGTCTCCTGGGGGAGCTTCTGAAAGGGGCTTTTCCCCCATGTGAGGAGGAAACCCCAGGCCCTCCGTTCCTCTTTGAGACGTGGTTATGTGAAGGTGTGATCTGTGGAGCTGTGGCAGCCTCTTTGACCATCAGAGGAGACATTAATTACATGCAGAAACAGCAGAGCAGAGATTTGGGGAACCCCTAGGGCCCATGGGCATCACCAAGTCATTCAATTAACCACCCCGAGCCTATTCACCTCCCAAATTCTCATCAGACAATACACACCTGTTTTGATTGGACCACTCTCCGTGAGAATTCTGTTACTTGCAGCCAAAAGCATTCTAACTGACTCAGAACCAACAGCAGTTGGAAAGTTAGAGGAGATTTGGAGAAAGAAGTGCAGCTCCTATACCAGAGACCTGCTTGAATGAAAGGCAGGCTACTTCCCCCACACCCTTGTGTCTAGGTTGTCATCACAACAGCAGCCCTATTTATTGTGTCCCCACCACATCAGGCACTTACAGCCCCACAGGGAGGTACTATATGTGTCAGCAACCCCCACCCCAAGTTCACATGTTGCGGCCTTAGCCCCCGCTGTGACTGTATCTGGAGACGGGGTCTCTAGGTGATAACTAAGCTTAAATGAGGTCATAAGGATGGGGTCCTGGTCCCACAGGACTGTGGCCTTATGAGAAGAGGAAGAGAGAGAACTCCCTCCACCACATGAGCGAGAAGGTGGCCGTTTGGAGGCCGGGAAGAGAGCCCTCCCCAGAAACCAGCCCTGCTGGCACCTAGATGTTCATCCAGCCTCCAGAACTGTGAGAAAACAGGTTGTTTTAGCCCCCCGTGTGTGGGGTTCTCTTAGCAGCCCGAGCTGACTAAAACAGAGACACAAACTGGTAAAATGCGAACTCTTCAAACTAGGTGATGAGCCTGCGATGCTCATTTACTAGTCTAAGTTTGGTGTGCTGGAAAATACCAAAACAGAAAGAAGAGAAAAGAGGGGTAATAGAAAGGGGGAGAAAAGCATTGAGGGTGGGAGTATGTGGCTAATAGTGAACAAAAATATATATAAAGTGAAGACGGTCTTTCTGGCGTTGAACTGCCCGCCTCACGCTCACTCCATGCAGGGAGCTCCTCCCAGGATGTGCTTATCCTTCACACATCCCTGCAAGGAAGGGATACTGGATGTCCTCCTCGAGGGGTAATGGAGGCTCCGAGACCACCCAGGGTCATGACTCCGTTGGCCAGTCTCCAATTCCCCCAGCCTTACCTGGAACCCAGGGCACGGTGGTGCGAGGCCAGGAGAGGAAAAAGCCTGCTGACCTGTCTGTCTCCAGCAGCACTGGCGAGAGCTTAAACTGGGCACCCCACGGGAGGTCGTTCCTGTCGTCAGGCTGCTCTTGGCTGGACTCCTCTGGCAATGGAGATGTGTTCATGACGGAGTCATCCTGGGGCCAGACAGAGGAGGTGAGGAAGGTGGCATGGACCGTGGACACAGGCAAGCTGCATCCGTCCCTTTCCTCCTGGTCACCACACGAAAGAAGCCACCCAGCGGGGAGGCCGGCCTGCCAGCCATTAGTTCACTTCCAGCTATGCCGCCCTTCACAGACAGACAGGAGGTTCAGGGCAAGGGCGAGTGCCAGGGACCGACTGCAGGGTGGGCCTTGACCCTTGAACAAAAATGGGGCACAGGGGAAATGGCTGGTGTCAAAGCACCCTCAAAAGCCAGCAGGTCCTCAAAAAAGCCAAACAGAACCACCATGTGACCCAGCGATCCCACCTCTGGGCCTGCGCCCAAAAGAACGGGAAGCAGGGTCTCAGAGATCCCTGCACCCCACGTCCACAGCAGCGCTGGGCATAGTCGCCAGGAGGCGGGAGCAGCCCGGTGTCCGCTGACGGGTGAGGGACAGACAAATGGGGTCCAGCCACACGGTGGACGCTACTCAGCCTTAGAAAGGAAGGAATTCTGTCACCTGCTACAGCGTGGATGGACCCTGAGGACACTGTGCTGATGAAATCAGCCAGTCACAAAGGACACACACTGTGTGACCCCACTGATACGAGGACCTAGAGGAGTGAGACTCACAGGGACAGGAAGTAGATGGTGGTGAGGGGCTGGGGGAGGCGAGGGGGTTAGTGTTGCATGGGGACAGAAAAAGCTGTTTCGTAACAGCTTTTCTGAGTTCTGTGAGTCCTTCTGGCAAACTAAAGCTTAGGGTGGTCTTGGGGACCCTGACACAAACTCTAGGAAAGGATTGTTTTAGAATGGACACACGTGTGGGGAGAACAGGAGTGACAGTCTGCGAGCAGGGAAGCGGACGGAGAGGGGACTAAAGCTGAGGCCCTCAGCCAGTCCCCGCAGGCTGACCGCCACCGAGCCCCACGTACGGCCTCCACAGGTACAGACAGTGTCAGCCCCGGGACCTGTTACTGGGGCTGGGGAAGTGGCTTTAAATGCAATGGGACTCCTGGGCTCTCCCTCAGGCCACACTTCTGGGCACCGCCCCGGCCCCCTCCGGCTGAAGCCTGGAGGTTTCTCCTTTCTTCTTCTGAGAAGGTACAGCAGAGGGTCTATGGGCTGGGGTCCCCAGGCCACAGCGAGGGCACGGGCAGAGCTCCTGATGACAGCATTTGTCCACCCCACCTCCTTCCCTGGGGAGTCCCCAGAATAAGCACCAGACATCATTGTCACTCAGGAGCCTGGAGGCACTCACGGAGAACCAACAAGCCCAAGAGGAGAGACCTCAGACTCTGAATATCTGGCTGAGGGCCCCAGGAGATGCCTCTCCAGTCACCGAGGTGACAGGGGCCACCCCACGCTCATGTTTCCTTCCCCCTGGCCTTTCTCGCCCACAAGGAATTTTTAGCAACAGCCCAGGGTTGCAGACCCACGTGTGAACAGCACCCCCCCAGCAGTGCCTTCCCCAGCTGACCCCAGGGACCGGCTCGCCTCTCCGGAAACCTGCCTGAACGTGCCCTTGGCCAGCAAGCACTGGGGGGCCTTTCACGGGCCTCACACACAGGCCAGGGGCCCAGAAGGGGACGCGCCAAGCCCTGGCTAGAACCCCAGGGGACTTACCTGCAGGGAGCTGGCCATCACCGAGTGCAGCAGCAACAGACGGTTCAGGGAGCCCTCGCCCAGCTCCCGGGAGTACAGGCCGTAGGGCTCGTCCAGCGGTGCCGGCACCCGGATGCCACCATCTGCAGGACCCAGAGAAGACGTCAGGGGAAGTGCCCGGCCATGTCCAAAGGCAGGCTCTTCCGTTGGAAGGCGGAAGTCTGTGACTCCAACCTGATGAGAGAGGTTTCTCCGCAGGGTGGGGTTTCTGTAACTGTCCTCCTGATGCATCTCTCAAGCTAACGTTTTCCTATTAAGCTCACGTATTGCCTTTCCATCATAAAATAAAATGAATAATTCTAAAGGATAAATAACATTTAGTTTAAAAGTTAAAGAGCCACTCCTCGTGTAGACCCAAAAGAGTTGAAAACAGGTGTTCCAACAGAAATTTGTAGGTGAACGTTCCCTGCAGCACTGCTCACAGCACCCCAGAGGTGGACACAGCCACAGGCCGTCCGTTGGTACCTGGAGAGACGCCATGTGAGCCAGTGCTGGAGTATTGCTCGGCCATTGCCAGGAGCGAAGCTTGGACAGACACACAGAATATAGATGGGCCTCGGAACCACAACGCTGAGCCAACGCAGCGGGCCACGGAAGGTCACAGCACGTACGATCCCACTTATGTGAAACACCCAGAATAGGCCAATGCATAGGAACAGAGCACAGAGCAGTGGCCATCGGGGGCAGGGGAGGGGGGGTGGGGAGAGCACTTAGTGGGTGTGGGGTTTGTTATGGACGAGCAGAAATATTCTGGAACTAGAGGTGGTGGCTGCACAGCAACATGAATGTACCAAATGTCATTGAGTTATACATGTTAAAATGGTGAATCTTAAGTAAATTTTTCCTCAACTAAAAAAGAGTTAAGAAATTAAAAGACGACATAATTATAGCTCTGGCAAAATTTGACTGCTTATAGGCAGGGATTAGAGAGGTAGTTGGGTTATAAGTAAACTGTTTTCTTTTCCAAAACGTACTTTAACGTTGTTATACCTTTTTAAAAATAATTGTATTTTTCCTTAGTATAAAAGGATCTGGGAGACGCCCTTGAAGGAAAACTCTAATGAGTGTTGACTATAAAACTATGATGATAAGGCTGGCCAAGTGGCTCGTTGGTTAAGAGCTGGCTTGGGACACCAGCTCTGAGCAGCAGGGCCCTGGTTTGGATCCCACATGAGGGCCAGTGACGCTGCGCCCTCTACAGCTAAGATGGTGAACAACAGCTCGACCTGGAGCTGGNTGCCCAGCTCTCGAGTGGACGCTTTTTATGCATCTGTTGAAATGGTCATACGGATATCTCTCCTTTGTTCTATCAACATGGTGCTATGGGTTGAACTGTGTCCCCCCCAACAGACATGTTAAAGTGCTAGCCCTCGGTACCTATGACTGGGACGTTCTTTGGAAATGGGGTCTTTGCAGATGTCATCAAATTAAGATGAGGTCATTAGGTGGGCCCAAATTCAATATGATTAGTGCCTTCATAAGAAAAAGAAAATGCCTTGTGAAGACGGCACACAGGGACAAGACAGCCGTGTGACGACAGAGGCAGGGAGTGGGGTGCTGTGTCTGTATGCCAGGGAATACTGGGGTAGCTGACAAGCCCCAGAAGCTAGAAGGGGCAAGGAAGGCTTCTCCCAACAAGTTTCAGCAGCAACGTGGCCCACCAGCGACATTATTTCAGGCCTCCAGCCTGTGGAACTGTGAGACTGCGATACTTAGTATGGAGGCCCCAGGAAACGAATACATGTGGTGAATTACCTTGATTGACTTTGAAGTGCTCAACCAACGTTGATTCCACCTGGCCACAATATTTTATCCATTTTGTATGTATTGCTGCGTTGGATTTGTGTATATTTGGTTAAGGAAATAAAGGGGGGAAAGAGGTGAAGCAGAAGAAAATACAACACAATCAACAAAGTCAGAAATCGGTTATTTGGGAAGTCTGATAAAGTTGATAGACAGCTGGAGATACTGATTTTAAAAAAAAGAAGGCACAAAGAACCAATATCAAGGAAAAANCAGAGTGAGGGGGCGGCCGCTCTGCTCTCCAGCGCTGGACCTTAGGGCACCTGTGAGGGGGCTTCGCTGCACGAGACGTAGTCCATCCTCAAAAGAAGCGGTGCCTTGGGCCTCTCAGCTTCCCTACGGGACCGTTCTGCTCACGAAACACGAAACATACTTGAATGACTGACCACAACCAAGTGGCCTTAAGAAAACTGAAGGTTTGCTTAGTTTTAATTCCTTAGGACCAGGAGGCTCACAGGTCACTCTGGCAAAAACATGATGATTACACGGACTCCAAAAGGTCTCCCCAGCTGTCACCTAGCCTGGCTGGCCTTGGGCTCACAGCATTCTGTGTCTTATACCACAATTTTGGAAACTACTCACATGTTAAAATCTTGCATGAATTAGGTGTCCTCAAATAATGCTTTTAAAAAAAGTCAATTGCAGAGTAAATACTGAAGAGCTCAAAACGGCCTTTAAATATCAAAACTTAGATTTCAAAATATAACAAAAATCAGTGTGGTCAAAACGATGCTGGTCTGGGCAGAGGAGGTCCCAGCAACAGTCTCCCTGTTAATTCTCAGCAGCCTACTTGGCGGAGGGAACACAGCTCCTTCCCAAGGCGGCTTCACTGCTTGTGGAGGCCTTCCTGCTTCCCGCGCTAAAGCATCTTTGCTCTTATGAGATAAAGTGTAAGACAACAGGGACAATGACAGGGAACCCTTTAAAATCACGTTTGTAAGTGGACAAATCTACGCTGGCTCTCTAAACTTTTTCATTTTGCTTGAAACGCTCTCTGGTTCTGCCTCAATCCCAGTGCGATCCGACACAGCATCTCAGATCTTTGTATCTGAACATGGGGACGTCTTGTTTTCTTGGTGTGTCACTGCCTACTCCACCTTCCCATTTCACTGCAGTCAGTACACAGCGGGGTCCAGTGACGCGCTGCAAGCGTGGAGAGTTCAAACGGCTAACAACAAAAATAAGCAAACACCACCATGAGATCGACCGTCATCAAGAGTCACTCCAGAGGAGAGGCTGTCGGGCAGCAGTCGGACGGGGGGCGACGCAGGCTGTCAGTAACAGCCCTGAAGCCAGAGAGCGCTAGCTGCCCGCGGGGACGGGGTCTGGCCGCGGCGCTGGCACAGGCGCCCAAGGGGCTCGGCGGAGGCCGACCCTGCTGTTAGCTCGAGGCCCGGGGCCCGGCTCTGCCACGCCCTGTCCGGAGGGGCAGCGTCTCGCCAACC